AAAAAAAAATGTTTGTTTAGATAATTTTCGAGATATTTTTTCTTTCTGAATGCACATTTTAAAGTATTTTATATTCTTTGTCCGCTTGATCTATTATACTGGTCGCACGTATCGAAGTTTTATTTCTTGTAGTTTTAAAATATTTTCTTGTTTCTTTGTAGTTGTAATGTAAAATTAGATTAATTTATTAAGTTTGATTATAATGTTTAGTGTAGACTACCAGAAGAAATTTAGTAGTGTTTTTATATTTTATTTTGAAGTTAAGTAGTAGGTGAAGGGGTAATTTGGTTAATTTTTCTTTATGTTTGATTAATTAATAAGTTTGATAATTTGTTTAGTGTAGAATACAAGAAGTAGTTTGTGTAGTGTTCTTGTAAGAGATTATATTCATTTATTTTGTAGTTGAGTAGAAGGTGAAGGTATTTGGGTATTTTTTTCTTTTTGTTTTTCTTCTAATAATTATTGTAGTAGTTCTTTTAAATATTGTGATAGATACATTATAATCTTCCTTCTACTTTTCTGGTAGTTGAATATACGAAAAAAATCTGATCAAATTTATTTTAAATGAAATTAATCTAGTCTTATTAATTAATCAAATTAAACTAGTCAAATAATATTAATTGCAATCAATTATTAAAAAATATTAATTATTTTGGAAAATAACTTTTGAAATGGAGTATTATTGATAAAATTTAGCCAATTTTTTTTACCCAGTAGCGTATTTCAATATGATCTTATCATTTATCACTGTATAATAACTTTGTTGTGGCAGAAAAATATACCAGTTAGTTTCAAAATATTATTTTTTTTTCAAACGTCACAAAAGTATTAATTTTTGCCACGTGATTGACAATATAAAAAAGTCATTTTAACGCCTAGGCATAAAAGTAAAGCACTTTACGCCTAAGCATAAAAGTATGAAAATATATTATTAAAATGACATAAGTCTCAAATTCAACGAGCCGTAACCATAGTTTCTCGATATATAATTACTCATGGTACAAAGAAAACTTAACAAGGTATGGTCGATAGCGTCTCCAATTTCGTTCAGTTTGCGCATATCGCCTGTGACGTCATATGCCATACAACAAAATATCCGTATTGTTCAATTGCCACTAATAAAAAAAGACCTAAAATAGACAACCCCTAAAGTTATGTAAAATCATCGAGCTGGACATTTGAAAAGTTATGTCACATTATACACATTTATTGTGTGTCATCTGTTTGAAAATTTGAAATTGGCGCGTGGAGCTTGCCGACCAATATTGCTGTTTATCGCCTGTGACGTGGTGACCAACCTGCGCAATATCATACCTTGTTTTTTTTGTATCATGATAATTACTTACAAGGTATGAGTTTTAAATATTTTTATATTATTTGGAACGTTTGAAATTGTTCAAAACATTATTTGTGGCGTTTGAAAAAAATAGCATGTTCTATTCGGAGTAAAAATGACTTTTGTGCTTCGGCTGTATGTCAAACCTACAGTCTCGCCACGAAAAGTGTCATTTTTACTCCTAATAAAACAATATACTAGAAATTTTTATGTTTTAACGGGCTTTGTGAGTTAAAACATAATGATATTTTCAGTTTTTATAATTCTTGATCGAAAATAAACGGAGTCAGCGATGGCTATGAAATTAAGGTCGCTGTCATTTTATATGTAAATTTATGTGGGAAATGTCGTCGATCGTCATTTCCCTGCCAACTGGATGCCGTTTTTTTTTCATATGGTACAAAGTTAAAGCAAACTTGACTCTGACCATGTTTTACGCTAAGAAAGATTTATTTCGTGTAATAAAGATTTAAATGGTGTATTAAGTACATAATATTTCTTTAAATGTCAAATAATATTATTGAAACAAATGCCAAGTTTTATTTTTAATTAAGAAAAAAATTAATCAAGAATGTATAAATGTTTTGTTTTCAAAAAAAAATTATCTTAAATTCGTAAAACCTCAATTTAGAATAAAATGATGAAAGAATGAAATAAAATGTTATAGCCCTGGATCAAATCGAAATAAAGTAAGTGTATGTAACTTTTTTTAAATATTAATAATTACCAGTAATTAGCATTAATGTAACAACATATTGAAAATTGTTATTTCTTTGTTAAATACGGTTTAGAATCCTTAAAATAATAGCAAAAATAATCGAAAATCAACAATGAAATAATAGTTTTGTTTAAATTTCTTAATCAGCTGAGCCCTATTATAGTTCGCAAAAATCCGAGCTATATTATTACATTACTCTGAGGCATACCGCAAATAATCGATATTTTTGACTCCGCCCCTAATCACATGCTTCATTCCTTTAAAGCTTTACGATTTGTTCACCAGAGGCAGCACATTTTGTCGAGAGGTTGACCAACTGTAAGAATATATAAACAAGGCTACTACTAACCACCCCCAAAAAATATTTGCACTTATTTAACACTCACCCTGTATATAAACCTATCCATAGTTAACTTAAAAAACATGAGAAAGGTTTTATGGCGAAATAAAAAGATTGGTACTATCCGCAATTTTTCTGTCATCATCTGCCGGAATCTTCGTGTCTTTCATGCAGCGTATACTTAATATAACGCTTAAACATTGATTAAGACGTAATCGGGCAATGATTGAGCGCATCAGAGTAAATCAGTGTGTGTATAACTTTATTCTGGGGGCATACAAGAGCGGAATCGCGCACATCGACAGTTACACGACAGACGCGGAGGGTGCGGGGAGGGGATATCGGACGCCGCATTTTATTAATAAACAAGGCGCACAAAGTAACAGCCTGTCATTGTGTGCGAGTGTGTAAAATTAAGCGATCGCCGTATTATGGACCTAGCGGTGTCGAAAAGGTATAAAATAAACACAAAGCGGTACGATACGCATTTTGTAAAAAATATTCCAATTTAGTTTTTAATAGTATATTTAATCTTATATTTTAGAAATTTAGGTAGTATTGGTATTTTGATTAAATCTAAATTAGTTTTTTAAATATTTTTACTTAAATATAATTTATTAACTAGGTTTTCGAATTAAGATTTCATTTTTACGAAGTACAACAATTATTAAAATAGTTGTCTATTCTGATTTTCATCATTTGGTTGTAGATTTTCTTTTTTTCATTATTTGGTTGTAAATTGATTATTTATTGGCTGTTATCACTAGCGTCAAAAAATCCAAATATTAACTAATACGATTATACTTAAATAATATGATGTATACCGGGTGCGTCTCAAAAGTGGCTCACCCCTATAACTTTTTTATTTTTTCAGATAAAATAAGGAGATTTGGTAAGTTAGTATATGACATAAATTGGAATTGATTAACTTATTCAATTGCTTTCGGTCACTTCCTGTTTCACCGGAAATTACTACAACTTTTGATTTGTAAATGGCACTTTCGGTATTTTTTTACTTTATTCCATTGAAAATGACACTCTAAATCTAATGACATATCATATGTCAACTTTTGACGTATTTGCTCAAAAACAAATTGTATTTTAAATTTCAATCTAGAGTGCCATGACTGCGTTAAAAACACTAATTTGTAATCAATGAGTCTTGGAAAAATAGATTTGATCGTCTAATGTTTTTAGTGTCTTGTCCTGGCCGGTCAAAAGATGCCCAAATCGTATTTTTAATCATATCTCAATTTTTTCAAATGGAACGACGGTGGCTCATTAGCATATTTGGAAAAAGCATTTTTTTACGAATAATTTGATACCACACACTTGCTATTTCGAGTCAAATTGTTGTTATGAACCCCATGTTACAATTTTTAATAAACCATATGCGAAAATGTCAAAAGTTGACAATATGTCATTCTATTCAGAGTGTCATTTTCTATCGAATAAAGTAAAAAAATAACGAGGGTGCCATTTAAAAATTAAAAGTTGTAGTCATTTCCGGTGAAACCGGAAGTGACAGAAAACAATTGAATATGTCAATCAATCTCAGTTTATGTCATATTCTGAAAAAATAAAAAAGTTATAGGGGTGAGCCACTTTTGAGACGCACCCGGTATAGTACACTATTTTTATATGAAGTACTCTGTAGTGTTTTCATACCATTTTTTGTAATTGTTGACTATGCGGGCCCAAGTTATCCATGCTAATTTCTTAATATCATAGACCCATCTTAGGTTTGGTCGTCTTCTAGGTCTCTTAATTCTTTGTGTGTACGTACCATGCTGTAATTTTTGTGGCCCATCTGTTGTCCATCCTTCTTTCCACCTGGCCATTGCCACTTGACGGATTTGATTCTGTGGATGACATCTATTACCTGGATCTTTTTTGTATCCACTTTATTCTTTTACGGTCTTTCATGGTTATTCCCAACATATTTCATTCTAGATTTGACTATGATTCAGTTTCTTCCATAAATACTCCATACTAATTTTATTCTTCTGTTGATTTCTGGTAGTAGAGATTCCAAGGTGTGTACTAGTTGTCCCAAATAAAAAAATTCTTCTATTATTTAGAATATATTTTCTACTAGTTTGTTGTATATTACTTTAGTTTTAGCTAAATTAATTTTGAGACCTACCTACTGTATTGCTGGCTGTATTTTTAGTTCATTCATTTGTGGGTTTGTAGGTAATTAGAACTATATCATCAGCGAATCTTAGATGGTTAAGATATTCTCCATCTATTTTTAATCCTTTGTTAATACACTCTAATTGACGGAAGACTTCTTCTGAATGATTTATATAAGTCTTTTTAAATTTGATTTAGCGACTTTTTAATATTTCCCTTGTTTTATTAACTTAATTTATACGTTTTAGTAGATTTACGCGAAATAAACCATTTTGTTTGTACTATATTTGGAGCGTAAATGTCATTTGGTTTTAATTTAAGGCCATAGTGCAATTCCGGTAATAGATATACGCTATATGCAATAGATTACGCTCTATCTAACAACGATATGAGTTTTAAATGGCTCTGATGTCCTTAATTTATTACAATTTTAGGTTAAAGTGTTTAAAATTCATTTAAAATTGTTTTAGGTACAACAGAACCTATGTGGAATCAAACGTTTGTCTACTCAGGTCTTAGAAGGGCAGATCTAAGAGTTCGGGCGTTAGAAATAACTGTTTGGGACTATGTAAGATACGGGGCAAACGATTTTTTAGGAGAAGCAATTGTGGAACTGTGGCCCTTAGATGAACAAGCTGCATGGAGAACTTTAGGACCTCACGAAGAGGTAATTATTGCTTTAATTATACTATCTTAAACTAGTGTAAATTTAAGTTTTTGGCTGTTAGATCTGACCTATAGGTCTGAGCGAGGTATTTTATTATGAAATTTAAAAAATATATTTTTAGTAAATTTTTAATCTATAACCTATGTTGCCATTTTTCTTAATGTTTGGAGTCCAAATATACCACTCCCAATAATATGGGCACTTATTTAAGATTCTACTGTATATTTAATAATATTTCTGATGATGAATATTATAACATAGCATTACCAAAAAGCATGTTAGTAAAAAATAATGGTTTTGTAGAAATACTAATGGATTCTTCATAGAAGATATTATTATATATTTTTGTTGTGATATATTATTATATTTTTTGTATATAACCAAAACAGCTTTCTAAAATAATTTTTTCTTTTATTATTTTCTTTCTATATAGGCTTCAAGAAAGTTTTATAAATTTGTTTACAACTGGCCTTAGTGACTTTTATATACAGTATGTCCCCGGATTGTCTTTAGAAGAGGAGAAACACTTTTTTTATTCTTAACATTAAAAAAAATGCATTCCTTATCACAAAAAACGTTCGCTTGCTCTAAAATCGTTAATTTCTTTTATATTTTTCTAAATTTCCATACCATTTTAAAGAAAAATAAAAATTATCTATCTGCTGTTGACTTTTTTTTGAAATCGAAACTCGTTTCTATGGTAATATTATTTCGTTTTCACTCTTTGATAGATGGTTCTTATTAATTCTGATTAACATCACATATCTAGCTATACTAAAATGTTAAAGAAGCACAAAGTTTATATATTTCATTGATACCGAAACGGTGACACTAGTTATCAGAAAAGGTGATACTTTAACAGTAGCAAAAAAATATCAAGTTAATCAAAATTAATAGTAATAACAACGTTTTAATAATATTAATTAATAAATAATCACGTTATTGTAGAAGGTAGAAGTATAAGTAAAAAAAATAACTCTCTAAAAACAAAAACTTGAACTTTCAAGCGATTTTTTTATAATTTAGTATTTTTATAGATCTATGTTGACAAAAATTTTTAATTAATCAAATACTATAACCTTGATAACATCCTATCCAAATATTTTTGCGTTTAAATTTAATGCGCAATATTTAGAAAATGTTGTTTTTCTCTTGCTATTTTCAGTATTTACATATTTTTTACGTCTTAACTGTTGAAGCCTTGAACCAGGAAGTTTTCCTTGGAAGAAAAAAAGACAAAAACAAAATAAACTAAAGAAAAATATGCAGCATTACTTGGTACGCAGTACAAAACAGAAAAACATAAAAGAAAATCTTATAAGACAAATATTATTGTAGTTAATAGAAAAAATATATATACAGGGTGTCCCCATATTCCGTGGACATAGAACTATTACGTATTTCTGGAGTCAAAATTAGTTCATTAGACACAAAAGTGCTTCGTTTTTCCGTTAGAGGGCATTAAATTCATAAAAATAAACTCATTTTTTAAGAAGAACCGATGTTCCGATTTGATTGAGATTTGGAGAGCCTATTTTAAAAATGTGTCTTCTTTTTAAGGTTTGAGACCCTCTAACGGCCAAACGAAGAATTTTTGTATAGAGGTAAATTATTGTGTCCAATTCCAAAAACACGTAATACACGTTATTTCTAAATCCACGGAATACTGGGACATATTGGGAGTATTGGGACTCTATACATATAAAACTTCCAGTGTATAATTTCCGTATATATTTGATAATGGTCCTTTAATATAAAAATTCATAATAATAATAATAGCTCCCGTATCCGTATATAGCTTTTAACGCCTTGGGAGCAGCCGTTCGGTATACAAGGAAGGTAATGTGACTAGCACTACGTTTCAACCGCCTATTATTACCTCAGGATTGTGAATCCCAAGTACTCATTTAAGGCTGAGTCGACCTAGGTACCCAAACTATTTTTATTTTAATAAAAAATAGTCGGCTGATGAAATGCCGGGTGTAGGATTCGAACCCACAACCTTGAGATTGGTAGACGAGAGCCTGTACCTCTACGCCACCTGGCACCAATAAAAATTCATAATTGTATAAATAATCACCAATGAAATGACATAATAATATCTTTTTAAGGTTGCTCTGACGCCCAGTGAACATCTATCACCTCCAAGCACAGGCAGTCGATTTTCTGACAGCGATACACCGTCAGAGTGTGAAATCGAGGGTGGCAGAGAACGCCGAGGTGCCGACGGTGCTAGTGTAAGCAGCGTGGGCAGCTCGTCCAGTCCTCCAAGGGAATCAGAGAGAAAGTCTAGAAGAGATCAGGAATCAATGCAATCGTACAATCAAAAATACAAAAGGGTAAGATAGTTATTATTTTAGAATTATTCCCTAGGCGATTCTAGTGTAGTCACCTTAGTATTTAAGGCAATAACTTGGGAACATAAGATTAGCTTCAGCTTCGTAGTTAGTTCAGCGTAGATGTTGAGCTGGTTTTGAAAAAAAATGACTGGCTAATAAATAAAATGTGTATCATGATAAGTAAAATTATGAATATTTTAATAATTTAAATAATGAAATTACATCGCTTAGTTTACACCAGAATTGGAAAAAGGTTATATTATTTTTAAATAATTAGGCATATTGTTTTATTAGGAATAAAAATGGATACTTTTTGCGGTGAGACTGTACGTTTGACATACAGCCGAGCCACAAAAAGTTATTTTTACTTCGAATAGGACATGCAATTTATTTCAAACGCCACAAATAAGTTTTTAAACAATTTCAAACGTTCGAAATAATATAAAAATATTTAAAAGTCATACCTTGTATGTAATTATATATTGAGAGACTATGGTTACGCTCGTTGAATCTGACACTTCAAAATATATTATTAAACTGACATAAAGTGTCAAATTCAACGAGAGTAACCATAGTTTCTCGATATATGAGTAAAGTCTGTTCACCACGGCATTTATTATTTTTTTCTTGAACTCTTCATCAGTTTTACGATCCCTTTTATTCCAATCCTTTGAACTGTTGAAATTCCTATTTCTAAAGCTTCAGCAAGCATTGTATTTACTTTATTATTATTAGGGCGTCCACGGGCAAGAAAGCGTCTCTTTCTCGAGAAAAATAATTTATAAGCTTAGCAATAAGCTCTTGTTCATTTTGGTTAAATCTTTGGGACATTTTTGCAACAAAAAAATTTGAATTTTGTTTTACAGCAACGATCAAATTTTAATTTCGACATTGATCGATTTCCGTCAATAAAATTATAGAATACGCAGTAATATGCAGTAATTTACGAAATGCCATAATGATGTCAGCAATCTCTTTCATCTGGTTGGCAAGTGATTGAAAGAGTTCGACGGAGAGTATATGACGCGATGTTGAACAATGGCTGAACATTCTATATATGGTTTTAATTTCAATTCGATACCTCCAAGCTTTGAATAAGAAGACTAAGGAAGGAGCATAATGCTATCCATGTATTCATGCATGGTGGACGGAAAAAGGACTCTAGGTTGGGGATCCTTGACAGTTCTGTTTGACGATCCATTTGACATACTTATTTGAATTTGATTTGAAATTTTGTGGATTTTTCAGTCTTTACGGAGATTATTTTATGTTATTTTTATTTATTCTACTACTGATAGTTGTATAAAGGTAGTACATCTAGATGGAAATTGTGGCAGAACTTAAATTAACGGTGACACTATCGCGATTTATCGAAAAAGACTCTAAAATAGTTGGTTGTGTAGCGTGCGGTAGATCTCGGCAAAAATCGAGTGAAATAATGGAACAACTTTTCGCTAGTAAGTGACTATACAATATACATACATATAGTAAACCGATCATTTATGGAATTCACTTAAATTAACTAATTATATATTTTTTCTTGCATTTTTGCTTTTATTTACTACTTGTCAAAGAATTTAGATACGTCAATTTGACTTACCTGCTTCAGTAGCATGGTACAAAGAATACAAGGTATGATCGATAGCGGCTCCAATTTCGTTCAGTTCGCGCATACCACCTGTGACGTCACTAGGAAAATAATGAATAAATAAAAAATAAAGAAAGTTGACAGGAGATCTGCATTTTTGGGGTTATGGTTAAGAATTGTTTATTTTTAAGACTTTTTAGTTCGTTTAATTTAATAATTACTAAAACCAGCAGTTCCAAAAATATATTTAAAAATAATAATTATCTATTAACATGGATTTGGACGATAGGTAAGAATACTGAATTTATTTCTATATTCGGTATAAAATTGTTTATTAGGTTTTTAGTTTGCGATGTTTATGGTAAATAATTTTCATTTTCATTGCCTCTGAATTCACATGAGGACAGAGTTGAGGATATCTATGGAAAAGTAACCACAAGAGGAATTGTTACATCATTTAAAAAATATTGGGAAGTTTATTGTTTCCCATCGAAAAGTAGAAAATGCCAATGCAGATGAACGTATTGTAATTGTGATAGAAGTAATTCTAAGGGTGAAGTTTATTATAATTAGTGGAAGTAATACCAAGGGTGAAGTTTATTATAATTAGTGACCTCTGCTTCTTTTTATATGTAGAAGTTTCTGGTTTTGAGAATAAATCGGTTGAACGACACCCAAAATTTAAAGGAAGTATTTGCATACCCAGAATATGCCCATCAAGGATTATATAGCTCAAATTTCCTTTAATGGTAGGCAATTATTCAATGCAAATTAACTTTTTAAGTGACTGAAATATTAAATAGTTTACAATATGGTATATCACTAAAAATATATTACTTTTAGGTACAATTAGGGCCCGATACATTTCAAAAAGTAGAATATTATTTTATATTAAATGAGGTATTGTACTAACAATTAATTAATTTAATAACGGAGATTAAAAAATAACAGAATAAATAGTTCTTTTTTTTATACTACAAAAATAAACTATAGAATACAACAGTATTTAAAAAAATAAATAAAAAGTGATGTTCCGGCCGAGATTCGAACTCCGGTCTCTCGCTTCCTAGCCCGACTCCTTATGCGCTGCTCCACAGTAACTTGCTTAGCGATAATTCAATGACGGTATATAAACAAAAAAAAAACAGGTTTATAACAATATCTTGACGATTTGAACTGGCGCGCGGAGAGTGCTGACAATAGCGCCTGTTATCACCTGTGACGTAGCGACCAACCTGCGCAATATCATACCTTGTATTCTTTGTACCATGCGGTGGACCTAAGATTTTTGATATGCTCCTTCCTTAGTTTTCTTATTCAAAGCCTCCAAGCGTTTTCTAGATAAAGGGGCTTGACAGACTGCCGGACGGACAACAAAGTAATACTATAAGGGTTCCGTTTTTTTCCTTTTCAACCTAAAAATGAAACAAAAATTTACATTTAATTACTTTTTCTGAAAAATGCGACAATCTGGCAACATGTGACAGGTTGTACCAATAAAAAAATCGAATATTATAAATTTACTTATTTCACTGAATTTCATTCATTCTATTTCGAATGCAATTAATCTCTTAACAATACCTCATTGAAATCTATTGATTAGAAACCACCGATCGTACAAATTCAAACAATATAATTATTACTAATACGTTATTTAGTAAGACAATACTCTCTATGTGCGAGTCTGAATTTCAGTTTATATTGTATTAAACTTGTTAAGTTTACCAAAGGTGTATCGATTTTATTTCAAGTTGGTTATAATAAGGTTGCGTTGCAAGCGATTGCGAACCGTGAAATAATCTGATTAGTCGTCAGAATTCGAGTGCATTTCGTATCAGAGCTCGTCATTCTTTAGTGTTGCATTAGTGCTCTAAAGATTACTTAAAAAATTGTTTTAGGGACAAAAATATATATGTTGAAAAAAACAAAATTTTGAAAAACTATGTGCCTATAATATTTTAAGCACATACTTTATATTATTTTTTTTGTAATTTTTTTCTACGGGTTGTTCACCACATACGACACGGAGTATTGTAGCTAAACGATTAGATGTTTACAAATTGTAAGTTTTGGGTTCGTTGAAGGACTATTAGAGCTACAATTTAAAAATATTTTTACAAGATACAGAGTGTCCTAAATAAATAAAAAATATCAAAGTTGTATTTTTTAAAATGGAACACCCTGTATATTATTACGTTTTTTAGTTTCTACGATTAAAATAAAGGTAAATTTGATAAAGGTTTATTACACTTAAACGTTACCGTTTTGAAATATTTTCAATTCTGTGAAATTGCAGTCAAAATTTTAAGGCTTTGTGTCTCCAAGGGTATCAAAGTTTTTAACACAAAATATTTACTGAAGTTTATTTATTGATCAGTTATTGTGTTGCAATAATAAAATTATACTACCTTATACAGAGTGTCTAAAATTTTATTTTAAATAATTACTAGTTTTAACCGGCAATAACTTGTTTAATTTAAATGGAACACCCTGTATATTTTATAAGGATCAGATGCACAATTTAATTGTCTAGCAAACTGTATTATACCATTTTTACCTATCTCTTCAAGTTTCCGCAGAAAATGCATTTTCATGTAATTTAAAACTCATTTGTCAATATACCCATGGAATACTGACATTTTAGATTATTTTTAAAGATGTACCAAATTTTTAAAGAGTACAGATACTAATATTGACGATATAGTTTGTTTATTTCATTAAAAATAAAAAACTGTTTAAATATTTGTCAAAGAGCACCAATTAATATGATTTCAGTTTTCAAACTACATTAATTGACTGTTTGCGTTGATTAATAATAATTGCTCCAAATACTAAAAACTGAATTTTGTATGTGTATTAGACAGTGTAGTAAAAAGTAAGACCTTAAAAATTATATTTCGTTTTTTGACAAATGCCTATTTATAACAACAGAGACATTCACTTTCATAACTTATTATTATATTGATTTCTGATCGAAATCAACATTTATTTAAAATCATTTATGAACGAACATAATTAAGTATGTAATTAATTAGTATTTAGGCGGAAATAATGGTGGTATATTTAATTAATGGTATACTCTTTTATAAAGATTTAAATGGTTTTCTTTTTGTATACAAATGGGCTAGTAATATTATCATTTTGCTAAAAACGATAATATTACTAACCTGTACATTTTGTATATTTGTTGCTTTAAAAACAATCTAAAATGTCAATATTCCATGGGTATATTGATAAATGAGGTCTAAATTATAAGAAAATGCATTTTCTACGAAAACTTGAAGGGATAGGTAAAAGTGGTATAATACAATTTGATAGACAATTAAATCGTACATCTGATTTGCCTAAAATATACAGGGCGTTCCATTTAAATTAAACAAGTTATTGCCGTTTAAAGCTAGAAATAATTTAA